GGCTAGACTTGTATTTAAATAAACTTTTTTCTATGCTGTAATATTGTTCTGTTTATGTTTGAAATATTAGAAATGTGTTGGTTTCAGTATTAATTTGTTATGATTTTATTTGTGAGATTCTAGCCTAGCCTTTGATTACATGACCACATACTATTTTCCATGCTCAAGTATGTTGAATGCCTCATGCTCACTGCATGAGTATTTACATAATGTTATGTTTTTGTCCTTTTTGTTTCAGTAGAAAGCTCCATGGTTTGTTTATTGTTTTATGTCCACACTCCGCTTGGAAAAAACAGTGTTCTCTGCCTCCCCTCTGTTGTGCTCAAGTATTTTTACTGCTGTAGGAGATGATGAGGTGAAATTTTTCCCAATTTAAGCAAAAGAACTGAGGCAAAGATGGATCATAGAAGTACCTGTTACTTTTAGGAATTCATTAGGAACTGTTTAGGAGCTGATTTTTCAGGGTACTTAGCGTTTTCTCCCTTCAAAGCAAAGGATTGGCACTGCAAGTGGAGGAGTGGAAATCACATGGGTCTTTCTCCTTTTAAAGATACTGGAAACCATTTTGTAGACCTCAGTCTTTTTTCAGGCTGAAGAGCCCTAGTGTATGCAATCCTTCCTCACGTGGATGCTGTTCCATATTTCTGATTATTCCTGGTGCCCTCCTGTGTATGTTTTCTGGTTCTAATACTGTCTTTGAGCTGAGGGGAAACAGAACTCCGTATTATGTTCACAATGTGTACAAGCCATTTATACAGTGCTGCAGTGATGTCTTCTATTTTGTTACCTCCCTCTTGTGAGAACTGCCATTTATTCCTATCCTATTTCCTAGTTTCAGCCAGTTATTTGTCCATGCTAATTATTTTAAGCAAAGCTGCTGAGTTTCCTTAAAACCCTATGTACGTGCTGCTTGATCCCCTCACATAATGTCAAGAGTTTTGTAAGGTCAGACATCCCTTCACGGACATGTTGCTTCCTCTGTGTTTGTCTAGATGTCTGCCTGTTCTGTCATTCATTATAGATTTCACAAATTTGCTTGATGTGGATGTGAGCCTTACTGACCTGTAGTTCCCCCGATTCTCCATGGAACTTTTTTTTTTAATTTTATTATCATGTTTCCCACTTCCCTTGGTAGATGCGCTCTCTTGCATGGTGAATGCCATCTTGTCCTGGTAATTTGCTTCTGTTTTACTTGGATTCCGCAGTGCATTGTGCAGCTTCTTTAAGTTCCAGCAGGGCTTCTGATGAGCCTCCAAAAGAATCATTCTGAGATAAGAATCTACTCATTTTTTTTCTGCAGTGAACAGGGAAGGTTAGCATTCATTTAACAGTGTCGTAGCGCTCTCAGCATTCTTCCTTTTAAACTCTGTAGCAGGCTCTTTGCTCCTCTTGTTCTGGGAGAAGTATTTTTTTTTTTTTTTAATTGAATCTGCCATGGTTTTTTGTCCTTATACTTCTCTTCTTTGGGATGCGGCTTAAGCCAGAAGCTGAAGCATGCTTTGTAGCCATGACAGCTTCATTTGATATGCTCTCAAGCCTTTCCTAATATATGATGTGCACTGGCAGTGTGCTTCCGTTGTGGTACCTTCTAGTGGTCTCCATGCCACCAATACTTGCTTCTTTTAGTTGCTTCTATTTAACGAGCTTTTCCTCACTTTTATGTGCTTCCCCTCATTGTAGCTTAGCACAGCTGTAAGACGTTTTTGGGTTTTTTTTTTTTGGTTCCTCTTGAGAATTTGAATCTAAGTACTTACTGTTCGTTGTCACAGAATTTCCAGTGTGAAATTTTAAACTGGATTGTGTGCGTTACTCTGTCCCAAATCAAGGATTGCCTTTTCTCTTGTGGGCTTGCTAAGCAGGCTAACTATATAGCTATCATGTTTCACTGTGTGCTTATTGCTAGGCGTTCCAAAAAAGTTGGAATTGTGGGCTTGCATTTTGATTACTGGAACCTTTTCAGGACTTGGAACACCTTCTATACTTTTAAAGTTTCACAGAGTAGTGTATTGGAGGGTCTAAGATACAGTGGGGCACCCTCCTTTTTAATTAGTGGCATGCCTTATTCCTAGAACTTGTCAGAGGTTTTGACAAGACGAACAAGACTATAGGTTAGGGAGCAATACCTTCAGAAGCTCCTTCTGCATCTTTTAGATTCAGTCTACCTTGAGCTTAGGTAGAGATGGGACCTGAAGTTCATTGCCTAGAACTTTGCTCACTGAGCATAACTTTTTATCCTGCACACTTTTCCTTCTCTGGGTCAGATTAATAGCGTTCAGCTCTTTCTGTGTCATTCTCTGAAGTCCGGATAGGTTTGTAGCTTTCAACTTGTAGTCTGGTGTATTTTCATGTAGGTGAGTGATGATCTAATTACAGAAAATACCTGATGTTATCAGTAAATGTTTTGGCATAGTACTGGCCATGCTCACAAAAAACTTGGAACTGGAGGAAGCCATTTGCAACCATACTCTTATCTAAAGAACAAGGTGATTGGGGAAGGTCTCATCCAGACACCATGATGACCTTGGAAATATGTCCTGTGTCTCTTCTTTCAAAGGTGATTGGTGTATGAGTAACACGAAAGCATTCTTCATGCTGCTATATATGAGAGTTTTATCCCACTTCTGTTCTTTTCAGCTAACTAGCCGTGGTCTTTATTCTTTGAGTTTCTTTCCCTGATTAGCCCTTTGTATTCTACCCTACCTTTAATCAGATTTTAAAAAAAAAAAAAATTGATGTCTTGCCCCCCTATTCTTTTGTCATCAATATTAGTCTTGTCAGCAGTCCTTGCCTTTTGGAAGATTTCTCTCTGAACTCAGGTTTCTCATCAGATCTCTCCATGTTTTCTGTCTTCCTGCCCAAGAGTCCTTGTTCTCACCTTTCTCTGACTCCCTTTGCAGCTTGACATCTGATCTATCTCTTCCAACCTCTTGCATTCCCACCATTTTACTCAGTGATTCCACCACAGTTTCCTTTTCCAGCAAGTTCTATATTCTCCTGAATTTCTCTTCAGGCTCCCAAGTACAGTCTTGCTGTGTTGGCTCAATGAGTGACCTGAAGTCTGGCTCATGTTCCCTCTGCCTTTGATTCAGGTAACTTTTTCTCCCGTGCTGAATGGGATGTACTCTACTCTCCTGGTATCCGGATTCAATTCTGGTGTGAATATTCACCTCATGTAGAATCTGGGGGGGGAAATAGATTGCAAGTTTTATTGAGTGAGTTTGTGTGAAATATCTCTTAGATGCTGTAATGAATCATGCCAGTTATGTTCCGTTCTTGGTTTTCTCTGTGTTGCTTTAAGAAGACTGGGACCCGCTTTGTAGAAGGGGGAAACTGCTCCTGCTCTTGTGGACACTACTGGCCATGGTCAGGGGGTATGTTTCTGGAGAATTTGGGGTTGGTGGCCGAGTGCAGTGGCAGCTTAGCCTTGAGAGCCTGTATTATGTGGCGAGACCAAGAGACTACACCTTAAGAAAAGGAAGCAGCCAGCCAGGCATCAGGGGACGACAGAAATCTTCCTAGGAGCTAAAAGGAACTATGTAGAGCTACCTGCAGTGCAAAATCACTAGGTTGTCTGAGATAAGCTTGGAAACAAGGATTTGCCTTTAAAGATACAATGTGCAATGGAAACTTTATTTAATAAGCTTTTTAAATTTCTGTTCTCTCTGACCTAGTTGTGCTTTCTAATTTTTTTTTCAAGAATTAATTATCCTAGGTGGTGGTCTGATTAAAGCCTCAATTTTCTTTAAAAACCTTCCCATTTTCTTTGCGGAGCTCCACTCATATGCATATTCCAGTTGTCATCTTTGCAGATGCTGAAACTTTGTGGATAGATTTTCATGGGGGTGGCAAAATGTACCTACCTGGCCCAAAGTTATGCCAAATTTGATGATTCTGCTCCTAAAACGTGAGGTTGTGAAAAATCTCTGGAAAACAAATTTTCCGTAATTTTGTTACCCAAGGCAAAACCAGTTTGGCTGTTAGGAGATAATAATTAGAGGGGAGGGGAAAAAATAAAAGTGATCCCAAAGCAGCTAGCTGGCTTGCAAAACTGCATTCCAAAGCATTGAAATTTAGCAAGACTAAGAACAGGAAGCAAATTCTTACATCAAAAAGCAGAAAAACCAAAAGCAGCATGTAAGTAAATTTAAATAATGTGCATTTTGTATAATATGATGTAGGGCTAAGCTGCAGTATTTTGAAGAAAAAAAAAAAAATCATGTGTCAGATTCACTTGCTCTCGTCTCCTGGCTTTCTCTTGGTTCTGTAGTTATTCACAGATAAGATGTTGCACTGATACACAGGTAGGACACTACCAGTTAGTGATAAGTGGTGTCTCAGTTTGCACTGAATTTCTACAACAATGTATAGCTTCTAATTTGAGAAACAAAAATATGATTTGGCATGCCACTTCTTACAGGTTACCTCTAAAAAGAGAAGTGTCAAACAGCCTTAATAATGGTTTTGCTGCTGTCTTTGCATAATACTCCTTCATACATTTAAAATTCCAAAGCAAGTTTAAATTAAATTTTCTGTTTGATAGCTTTAGCTATTCTGAAGTATGCAGTGAATGGGACTTTTAAATGGGACCTATTGTTAATGTAAACAGCTATATCAAAATTAGACTGGATACAATGAAAAATACTGCTCAACTTTATAATCTAATGACTTTTACCAAATAAGGGAAATAAAACTAATTAAATTTTTTGTGATGGCTGTCATATTAAGGCTCTTACCAGTATTTATGAAAATGTGCTATCTCAGTAACTTAATCTACATAACAACCTAACCCCATGTGGGGGCACAACGTTCAATATTACTCATCTTAAAAAGAGCAAGTACTGTTTTGAAGCTATTAAAAGTGCTACTTTAATAAACAGCAGCTGAAAACAGGAGTGCTAAAATTAACAATTTAGTCATGCTAATTTATTGTTAAGTATATGTAATTGTGAATTCTTAATTATATTGTTTTTAGTAACCTATCTGCTATTGGTTTTGTGTAGATCATCCTTTGCGGGCTGGAAGTGCCAAGTGCAGGATAATTCAGTGAATGATGTGGACTATTTCAGCTTCTTGTTTTCAACCCTTATAGGTAATCCTTGTGAATGTCGTAATTTAGAATTAACAAAGGAAATCTGTTTTTGTAGACAATTGCTAGATTTAATTTAGGATGAATGGTGTAGTATTTCCTAAAAGCAATTCTAATCTTATTGGATCTTTTTGTTAAGAGGTATCCTTTACACTCTTGATCTGATTTTTAACACCCCATTTTTACACTTTGAGTTGCCATTTGGGCATCATGTTTGCGTATTCTTTCTTGATGTGTAGCAAATTTCTTTCAAAAATGAGGAAAATCTGAACTTAGCATGACTTGAGCAGGATTTTGTTTTTCCAAATTTAAATAAATGCCTTATATTGGTTTGTAACAGAATAAATGAGTTCCTGTTGGATTTCCTATGGACGGGGTTACAGTATTGAAAACATTCCATCAACAGTAATGAAGGTACATTAAAGTGAGCTGCCCTGGGTCCTCGTGTGAACAGAATTATTTCTGATGCGAAATTCATACTCAGAGTAGTATTCCTGTGGTGATACAACTTTGGAAAATTACAGTGGTTATAATGATATAACATTACTGGGAAATATCTTTCAATAGCTTCTCTTGTGGTAAAGAGAAAGCGTCTTTTCCTCATCACTTTAAAATCATTTGTAATGTTCAACTACTTTGCTTTCAAAAGTAACCTTTCTCTTTTGTCTAAAACAATTAAGAGACAGCTGTATTGGTAGCTCAGCGAATGACGGCAAAAACTAAGTGACTTTTAAACTGTTTTGGAGCTGTAGTCTTGTTTTACTAAATCAAAATAATACTTGGCTAGAAATAATTAGCCTTTTTTTTTTTATATCTTATGATTATATTAGAAAGTTACTGAGTTAAAGCAAATATGTAGTGAATTCTGTTTTGCATTATATGTGTTTTTGCTTTTTCATTTTTATTTTTAATTATAAATACTGTGAAAATAGCAGTATAATGCAGGCCTCTTGATCTCTTTTATACTACAGTATAGTTTGATTTTAAAATATCTTTGTTTTCTTTTGGAAATCACAACTCATGTTGTGATTTACTTGATTTAAAGTATCAAGCAAATGCTTCTAACAAAAAGTGTTACGTGGACACCATCAAAAGACATTTTTTGTCAAGGAGGCTAATGAAGTAGAGTAGCGCTTGACTTGTTTTGTGATACTGTTTTACTGCTTCTTTTTCTCTAGGGTTTTCAAGAGAGGAGTTGACTAGTCTTCAGGGCATTAGAGGAAAGCCACACATTAGCCAGACACAGCTTTCACCTGTCCGTCTTTACCTAACTGATCTCGACCAGTTTTTACACCATTGGGCTGTGACAGAGGTAATACATCAACGTTAAGTCATATGTCTGAAACCCTATCGTGACTTGAAAAAGAGTGAAAATATTATGGCTGTTAAACTGCTAACATTCTTCTACAGCCATTGGGTAATATTTTGAAGGAAGCCGCTTTGAAAGGCGAATGTTCAGTCAGGTAATATGAAAATAGTACTTCTGGAAAGAATGGGTAGAAGCCTTGGTGGAAGAATCCTAATAATAAGATTAAGACTAGCAATAAGTTCTGGCTTTCAAAAAATAATTAGTTGCAAAAATACTAATTATGGAAAGCTTTCTTTGGGAGTAAATTCCACTGTTAATCGAAAAGCACATTAAAAGAGAATTTTACTGGTAAGTAATATTAAAGTTGGCATTGCTACTTATTCAGAATAACTTTGTATGCTTATTCAGTCAAAGTTTGCTGGGATTAACAACTTCACTGTGAATTCAGCACCTGCTTATAAGATCATAAAAACTGAAAGCTTAATTTTATTGTTGGTTCTAAAGGGATCTGAGGCCAGCAGATTTGTTTCGGAACTGATGAATAGTAGTCTTCATTGTGACTCAACTTTTTATTGCTTATCCCACCAGAAACCTCTTTATCTTAAGGTGTGAAATCATATTTTAATGACATATGTCAATTTAAAAGTATTCATGATATGTTATGAATACAGTGGGAGGAGTGTAATAGTAGTGTAGCTGTAAGGTTTATGCTGATTTCTTAAACCAAAAAGACTGCCATGAAAGCCAAAAATAAAAGATCTTTCTCTTGATTTATAATTCATAAAGATTAAGTGATAATCTACCAAAACTACTGACAGTCTGTGGCATATGTGGCACATATGCTATTATCTATATAAAAGTATTTTAAGCAAACTTATCATTTGATACAATGACTTACATATATCCGTAGATGTCCTGCCTTCAGTCAGATGGCCTGAAGGGCAGCTAAGCTTTTTTGCTGATCTTCCCCCCACCCTTACCACACACACAAACTTTGGCTCTTCTGGGCAGTAATGAGTAGTTTTCTCACCAAAATACCTCTTTCTGCAGTGTTGAAAGACTAGAACGTTCTCTTCCTCGGTCCTGTAGAGAATGCAGGACTGTTCCTCTGTGAATTGACCAGAGGGGTAACTTGCAAAAGTTTCTCAAAGAGTTAGCATAATCCCATTAAAAACATCTGCAGGATTTATATTCCCAGGGACTTGACTTACTTTTGAAAATGCCACACCATGTGTCACATCTCTCTTTATTCTTTTCACTTCTCTTCCACAAATCTATCGAAGTTGCTTAAGAAATCACACAGTGGAAACGCATTCACTTACGGATGAATGGGACTACTTTGGCTTACAGATGCTGAAATAGTTTGATTATAGACAGCTTGTTTGTGCCTTTAGTTCCTGCCTGCTGGTCTGATTTACTTCCAGTACAATCTTTTCACTGCTTTGGTGCCATCAGAGAGAGTCATTATTCACATAAAATGCAAGGTGTGCTTTTGTTGAGTTCCTTTTCATGGGAAAGATCCAAGGGGCTTTCTCAGACCCTCAGAAGCGTATAGCAGTCGTTCAGCAGAGGTGGATATTCTTAATTGCTCATGGAAGGGGACTTGGACACCCTCAGGAGCATTTTATTTTTTTACCCACTTATGCATCAGCCTGAAGTCTTTTCTGGGGACTTAAGTTATGTGAGAGAGAAAAAGAGAGAACCAGAACAAAACACTCCATGCATCAGAAATTTGTGCGTGAAGAGTGATGGGACGTTCTAGACCCCATTGCCTTTTGTAGATTTTAAATCAAGGGAGTTTTGGATTGCAACTTACAACTCTGAGCTGGAGAAGGAGATGAGAGGTTTTTCTTCACAAGCATGTTTATGATTGTGGAGAGGAAAGCTAACAGAGAACTGGACTGTATCTGATACCATGAACAGTTGTTTTCTTTTTTACTTTTTTTTTTTTTTGAGAATAGTAAGATTTTATTTTTTGTTTGGTAAGCTGTCGCGTTTGTGTGGTCTTGAAGCAAGCTGTTCACATTAAATGCTTGCCAGAAGGACGGGTAATATTGTAGTGCTGTTTGGAGGGTGGGCTGGCCTCTTTTCAACAGAATTTGCAGATAGAACTGTAGAGACACCTGGTCAGTAGCTTGCTTTCCTACCAGAGAGAAACTGAGATATCCTTTCCTCTTGCCTCTGCTAATGACTCTTTTCCCATTAGTCGTAATGGTCTTTGATATAATCTGTGCCCCAAGTTTCATTATCTTTTCTGGGAGAAAAGATCAATTTTAATGGAGACTCTTCCTTTTATAAATCATAAGATTTCATTCTCTTTTCACTTGACTGTGACTTTTTTGCTTCAGAGACAATCATAAGTATGGTAAATTATACATAATCTAGCATAGTTTTATTTTAAAAATTCTATTTTAAATGTGTTAGGCTTTTAGATGACTTTGTTCTCTCTATGTTTAAATATGTACCGTGTGTTTAAATGTACAGTGCAGTATTCAGTAAGTTTTAGGGGGTTTCTCTCTTTTTCTTGGCAGTGTTCCTTGTTGATTACAGTTCTCCAGCTTCAAACATGTTGACCCTTAAATTCTGCTTCATGCTGAATTCAGAAACACGATGTTCTAAGGATGGCAGTCCAGGAAAAACTTTGGGATTTGGAGGCTGAGACAATTTAAAACAAAACAAAAGCCTTGGAAAGAACCTTGCAGTTCCTCAAGATTTGCCAAAAGTTACATAGAAATCCTTTTTGTAGGAGAAATTTAGTTTCTACCTGGTATTGACCAAGCTCCTCTCCTCTCAGAATAAAACAACAAAAGTAACCCCAAAACCCAGAGCTGTAGTCCTTGGGGGCAAGAAAGACTTAGCAAATCAAGAAGACCTTTTAGGATCTCCTGGAGGACAATGTGATATGAAGGCGCTAAGTGCGTTAGGATTGGGGGCTGAGGCTTAGATGGTGTTTTTTCCTGGGATGGGAAGGGATAGCGGTGGTAGGTTTGGAGAACACTTTCTCCAAAGTGGACATAGCAGTTCAAGGACTGGATGCTGTTGTTCTACAGGAGAATGTTTTTCAAATTTAGCTACTCTTAACGTGGAACAATTTCCACATCTACTTAAAAGAGATGCTTCTATGGTGGGAGAGCTGGTGGCACTAAAGATACTTAAAAATGTTGGTAGAAGATTGGCAAATTTTCCATTTAAAAGTGCTGCTTTTTATGGAAAACTTTTACTCTGCTGTTGGGAGGAAAAACATCCAGTAATCATCAGTATTCAAGTTCTCAGTAAGAAAATGAAAATATTAGTGAGAAATACCTCTTTGTTTTCTGATCATAGTGTGCCTTATTTTCTTTATGCCTCGTTCCCTAAGGTAGGCATGGGGTTACTAACGTACTAGGTGTCTTCCCATATATTAGGGCCAGGTGAATACTATGGTATGCAATAATGTTGAAGCAAGCTGGGAGACTTGGCATCACAGGCAGGAAAGGTCTAGTGAGAAGTCTGTTTCGTGAGGTATCTGGACTCCAAATCCCATTCAGTGACACCATTTCTGAATCAAGATTTTTAGCTGTGACAAAACTATTTTTTAAATAAGTACTACAGGAAGTAATAAATTCAGTTTTAGTTGTTCACATTTGGCTTTTGGTGGAATTGAGAAGAGAGGCTTTTGAATGCTGTACCTTTTGTGCTTTCTTTTGCTGGATAAAAGATATGCTCATTTGAGCAGCAACTTCATGGTGATACTGTAATATTAAGCAAGATATTTGTATCTGCTAAGTGAATAGATCCCTCCATTGGCTGCAGATCAGGCAGCTTTCAGGCCTGTCTTTTATATGGAGAATTGTCCCTAAATAAGAGGCTGTTGTGTAGCTGTTACTCAGGGATTTCTCATAGAAGAGAAATGCTTAATTGTGGGTGAAATTAATAAGGAACTGATGAACTTACTTGGCAGCCTGATTTTTCTGTAGCAATCAGACTTTTTTATTAGTCTTTTTATTAGTCCCTCCATCCTCCTTATTCTTCTGTTCTGCCACTAGTTTTGTCTAAAGCATTGGCTGGTTTTTGACTGGATCTACTGAAAGAATAGTTTCAAATATTAGTTTCCTGTAAGTTATGTGAAAGCAAGCAGCTAGAAGAGAAGAGGATCTAGATTAGTGCAAAGGAATTCAGAACTCAGTTTTTGCATTCTGTTCTGGCAGCAACCAGCTGGGCAGTCCACATGGGCGTAGCTCTGGACTGGCCCCAGCAGGCGCTCTCTTTTGCAGGGGGGAAGGTATCGTAGGGCTTGTGAAGCACTAACCCCAGCTGTTACTGTGGTGAGGAAATGGAAAAGGGAATTAAGGTTTCCCGACGTGAATCTATAGAAAGCCATGGTTTGTTGGTTCTGTCGCTTGCTGTTTTCAAATCCAGTGGAAAGCAGGCCCAGCTTTCTGTTGCTAACTCATTGTCTTGTGCAATGAATGGTACGCGTTTCTAAAGATGATGGACTGTAAGAGGGAACTTAACATATACTTACCAGAGATGCAGAAGGAGAAAAGAGATGTCTCTGGAGAAAGAGCAATTTGTGTAAAGGAAAAAGATAATTTAAGGCTTTTTCAGCTGGCAGTCTGAACTTTGAGCGTTATAACCCCTGCGCTTGGTTGCATGTGATTAAGAATACTCAGTGAAAAGACCAAACAAATGCACTTTGGATAGGAGTTAATACTTTTACATCGTTTATAGCAAAACCATTTTGAGATGGTTATGGGTCATAACTTTTTTGTCTAGAGAGAATGGTTGTTGGGATACTGGAAATCCAAAGCCATTTTATTTTTTATGGAAGCTTTTAAATAATCAAAGCGTCATTGGATTGCCACTTTGTGTAACTGCCACTAAATGGCAGTTACACTAAATGCCATTTTGTGTAGCTGTAAAGGTTAATTTTCATACGTTGTCTGAAAGAGATTGAATGTAAATGCAGAAACCTTGGTTTGTTTTCTGAAGTAACTTGTACTTAAAATGACTTCTGCCTTATTAAAGCTAATCATTTAAAATCGTATCCCTGCAGCTTAAATAGATGGGACTCCAGAATAATTTATTGCAGCCTAAAGCTGAGGAAGCTTCCGATTTTTTTTTTTTTTTTTTTTTTTTTTTTTTTTTTTTTTTTTTAACTGCATCTATAGTGTTTGTCAGTAATATTGTTCACTCCTCTATAATTGAATTGTCCTATCAGTATCAAATGAAATAGCGCCAACAGAAATGAGCAGTTTACAAGGTAACAGTGTATACATGATAATTTCTGTTGTTATAATGTTTGACGTTTGTGACATTTGAATATTTTGAGGGGGGAAAAGCAATTTACTATTCTATAATTCTGCTTAAAGTCTAGATTCCAGAGTTATATTCAGCACATAGCTGACCTGAAGAAATAAAATACTCAAGTGTTTAAAGTTTTTAAGATCAAACACAAGGGAAGGACAGTTGCTATTAAAAACAGAATTGAATCCAAAAATATTGGGAAGCGTGCAGTATAATTTACTAATGTGTGCCAAAAATGGAAAAGTTGATTTAATAAAGGGTTTTGATGGCAATAGTTGCACTAGCATGCTAATGAAAATTGAGACAAATCAATAACAATCGAAAGCCAATGCATATACATTAAAGTTCTATGAGGATGCTCTTGGAAGAGTAAAAATGGTGTTACAGCGCTGCAGCTTAACTTTAAGCAGAAATTAACACTCCAAAAAAAAAAAAAAAAAAAAAAAACTGAACTTTTTAAAGACAGATTTGGGGCTGAAGTTCCTGCAAGATTGCAGTTTGTGGTCTTTATTGAGATTTCAAAGTTAGAGTTACATTGGGAAAACAAGGGTAAATAGCAGCCCTTTTTGATTAGAAATACACTATAATTCTTAGCCCCCGTGAGGTGAGGTGAGGGGGGAGAAAGATTCTATGCAAGCCTGTTACTGTTTTGTAAAACCACATCATATTCAATTTTAATATTTATAAATGAAAACAATGTTTTTACTTGCAAAATATTGTTAGTGCTAAAGAAACAAAGCAGAGGAGAAATTATAGAAATAATTATAATGTCTCACCAAATGAATAAAGCTCACTGAAACGAGCAGGTTTTTTTAATATTTCTTCCATGATTTTCTTATCAAGATATAAAACTTGAAAAACAAAAAACCCCTGGCTCTTAGGGCCAGTGCTCCATTGTAGTTGTTATCTTGTACTTCTGATATCCCTGTATCTTGGGCCATTTTAGAGCTGGGAGCGCATATGCTGCTGCACGTAGTTAACATGTGAATTAACATCTCCTTAGTTACTGTGCATGAAGAGCATCTCATACATTTAGCTTATGTGGAGTGTGTGCTATAAATTGACAATCTATTTGGCGATAACTGAACTGATTTCTGCAAAAAGATAGGCTTTGTAGGACGAGAGCTAGCTTCTTAGTCATGTACGGTTTTCAGGGGGAACACAAGCTCTTTTGTTTGTTTGGGGTCAGGTGGACAGGTGAATTTGGAGACTAGAAAATTAGAAGTTTATTTTGACCATCATGCATATGGTCTGACGGGTAGACATCCTCAAGGGGGAGGAAACAGCTGTGGTGACATTTTATAGCTAGGAGAGAGCTGCGGAGCTGTGAGGAAAAGGCCTTTAGTGGCTGCAAGAGGATGAAACAAAAGCTCTCTGCGTAGTCGAGCTTTGTTTTGCGTTGTTCTTTCTTGAATTGTGTTAATAAAAAGGCTCTGAAAAGAGAACTGGAACTTCGCTGTTCTTCAGGTATGGCTTTCTCTCCGGGAGGACCACATTAGCTGTTGAGCGTAAAACCTGTTTTTGTCACAAAAGAAAGAAGTAATTCCAGACATGTTTGTCATTTTGTGAGACAGTAAGATTCTCTTGCCAGTTAGTAGTTCTCTGTCTCCCGGGACTGAATCTTACTGGTCTCCAGATTTAAGCGCATGATGAAATTATTGCACAGTAGATGAGCGATGAGGATTGTCACCTGTGCATTTGTAGCTAATGGCAGATAGAGATAACCTTGCTTAGCACACTTTTGATATAGGTTTAACTAAGTTGCCTCAGGCTTCTTGCCACAGCCTAGGAGCCTGCATATATAGGCAATTACTGCAATTCAACAACTGCAAGGTAAGTTTCTATACTGCAGTTACTCTGTTTCTGAGCCAGCAGTTGGGTGTTAACTGTATTTCACAGTCACGCTAAATCTTTGGAAATATGTACTGTGTCGAGATGTAGAACATAATGTCTGTATTTACTTAAATATTTGTAGTTCTTAAACAAGCTTCTGCCTTCCTCTTCTATTACACTGAATGTAAATTTAGCCTCACAAAGTTTTTTTTTTTTTTTTCTGCTCTTACCCTTGTATGTAATGTTCTTGTGAGACTTTTCTTTCTTTTAACCTAGGTTTTATTTTACTGAGATTGTAAGATTTTTTTTTTTTCTTTTTTCCTGGAGTCACTGAATCAGACCTTTCACATCCACCCCTGTGAGCTTAGCTTAGGCAGAAGAACAAAGATCTCTTTGTTGTAGGCAGCTTTCTCAACAAGCCAGGGCACTGTTAATATTGCTCTGTCAAATCAATTTACTTCAGAAGGAGAAGCAGCACCTGTCCAGAGTGTGCTGTCTGATAAGCTAGGGTGCTCCGGGGGATGCTGGCCAAGCTTTAGATGGCAAGCTTCATTGCCTGCCCCATCACCTGAAAACCTCTCATTTTCTGTATGCTCTGCAGTAGCATGTTATACTGGATAGAGTCCTGCTGGAAACGGTCATTTCACAGTGTCTTGGGAACTGACTGCAGAACAGCCTGTTTCAGTTTAGTTACCAATGTTTGATATGGATGTTGCTGTGGGTTGAAAAGTATACTTCAGAGTTCACATTAGGATATAGTGTCTGGTGTTTACCAACTATGTTTTAAAATAAAATCACTTCTCTCCTTCCTTTAGGTGTTCTTAGGCATGCTGGGAAGTGGTCTGCTGGTCTAAACTGTCTTTGATCTGGCTTCACATTGTGGCTATCCAAGATGTTTGATTCATTATTTTTCTGTTTTACTTGGTTCCTCTCTGTGCTCACGCATGTGTGTCTTCAGAGCAAGTTGAATATTTGCTTCTTTGAAAAAGAGAATACTTCACAGCGTGATTAAGCTAGAAATAATATGCAGATTTTCACTGAAGAGTTGCTGATAAAGTATTTCCCCTGAGGATTAAGATGGTGATAGGCTTTTTGAGTCGGGAATCTATCATGTTATTTTATGGGAAGCGTTGAGTGATTTGGGGAGTGGGAACAGTTAAATATATGAATAAAACTTTCCTCTTGGTTCATCATTGGTCAGCATTCCTTTTGCCATAAGGGCCTCGGATTGAGATTGGGAGTCCTCTGTTCCTCTTAACTTTGTCTTTTGGAGTCGAGAGCGTTTTACAGATGGCCAATATAAACTGATGGATTCCTCTGATTGTATAGAGTTACAAAAGCTGGTTGTCAGCAACAAAAATGCATTTACCCATCCAGTTGAAGATGTGAGTAAAGCAGCATGTGACTTGACCCATCTTCCAAGATCTGATTAACAGGGTGGGGACAATTGAAATAAGGAACACTAACTTCCTGAGAAAATGTTCCCGTGTCAGGCGGCCAAATAATCCTTTACTGTATGCCCTTACTTTAGTATCTGCACTTGCTTTTGGCTTTCGGACAGCTACCTTCCTGTCAAAATCACAGTCCACTCCTTGGTGTTAGGATCTCCAGAAAGCAAGAGGTGCTCCCAGCCTGCCTTTCCTGCCTTTCTTGTGTTTTAGCTGGCTAATGTTGGCTTCCATCTGAGTACTGCTGTACTAAGGCACGGAGGTTTGTGTAGTAATGATTGCCTGAAGCACCACTAGGGAACATGCTCTTTTAATTATGCGGCTTGTTAAATGATAGGTAGTTGGCATTGCCTGATCAGTAAGGTTTGGTTTGAAAAATTACCAGTAAATTATGAAGCCCGTAGTATTTGCTGCATAATGGTAACAGTTAACCCCCGTATGTAAGAGTATCCTGTAGTCCAAAACCAATCTATGAATGTGCCAAAAATGTGATAAATGCTAATCAAATGTAAAATAATGAATCAACTGTGACATTGTATCATGGAAATTAAACATCATGCAAACCCTTGCCTAAGGAAAATAAATTGTCAGGAAAAATGCTAATTTTTATGTGCTAATTGTTTTCTTTGCTTTTCATTTCCATGTCTAATAATGTTTAAGTTTCACTCTTTATAACAGACAGTTGTTAGGAAGGCCATGTCAAATGGGATTTAATTTATAGAAGTGAAAAAGATCCCTACTCCCACTTAATATTATAAAAGTAGAATTGGATATATGAATGTTCTATTTTGAGGGTCAGAAGGATTTAAAAGGATGAAAAAATAACTTTACCAGCATTTCACGTACTGCCACAACCCTTTTAAGTAAACCACTGTTTGATGCTGTGATGCCTGTTTTCCTTGTCAGTGCTGGAAAAGTCTGAGTGCCAATGAATTGTACCTGTTTAATGACAAGTTCCAAGAATATTTCTTAAGGGAGAACTTTTACGGATTAGTAGGGCTATTCTAGGGACACAGTCCTAACGGTCAAGTATTAATACCTGTCTTCAACACGCAGTTGAAGATGTGGAGTAAAGTTGTTAGGTGGGTCTGGCTGACTTGCCTCCTACATCTTTAATTTGCTGACCTCAGGTATGTGTATATAAAAACAAAAATGTTCTCCCTAGTTTGTTACATCTAGTGCCATTTTGTCACAAGTGCATAGCATACGCCTTTGAGAAACATACCGAGATCTGTCTTAAGAGTAACAGTGGAGTTTCTTTTTATGTGCGCATTTCGCCTTGGAAACGAGGAAGGAAAATTCTGAAAGGTTTCATCCCAACTGTATTCCTAGCTATGGTCATCACTGTTACGTTGTTGTTTGGTTAGCTTAAATACTTATTTTTCTGCAACAGTTTTCACCTCTGTCATATTTGTAAGTAATAATATCCCTTCTCAGCTATAGTTTTGTCAGCCTAAACAGGTGAAGTCCTTTCCATTTACATCTGTAAGATGGGCTCTCTATTCTTTGTGTAGTTTTTCTATGCCTGTTTTGGTTTGAATTTATCTTTCTTGAAAATGAGCAACTCCTGTTTTGCACAGTATTACAGAAGTGGTTATTTCAGGATCTAACATAGTAGTACTGAACTCATCTACTTCTATTGTGACCTAGCTTTACTTTTGCATCTGAGACTGGCGTTTGCCTGTTTCATGGTTGTATCCTGACCATCTTGTGATCAGTTGTTATGCACAGAACATTCACCTCATTTTCCACTGTTACAATTCCTGGCTGCATACAGAATTATTAGCCTGTAAGTGCATATCCTTGCATTTTTGTTTCACTGAGTTTTTCCTGTATCAATTACTTTCAGCGTCAGACTCATGATCCGTTTTATAGGTTAATCCAATCCTCCTGTCTTGACAGTGCCTCTCAACTTTAAGGTGTCAGCCAACATGTTTCATCAGTGTAGTTTTTACCTTTGGTGTAAGTGTTATTCATTAAATTTCTAGGTTAGATTGGCATTAAAGTTTGTCCTTGACAATCGCAAACTGTAACCTCTTTCTCAACTTTATTTCATTCTTTGACACTGCTAATATCTAAACATTTTTATTGCCTTACTTGGGAATATTCCAGAGTACTTTGTACTTTATCATTTTCCAAACTGCAGTGCACAAAAACACTACCACGTCCAGGCTGTAGTGCACAATATAATAATGATAGTTTATTATTAAACAAACACATACTATCAGACATACGAGTATTCAATACAAGAGTGTCTACAAAACCGTCTCCTGAGTAGAGTCCTACTAGTCACACAACATACTTGCACAATTACATCTGTAATACTGAATTTAACATTAGTAGTGTTCTGATGGCCTTTGAATATTATGCTCTATCAAGAAGATGCCTTTAAGAATTCTCCTGAATTTGGTCAGCTCTCATGAGCTGGATTGAAAGCATGTGTGACATTTAGCTTTGAAAAAGGTTGAACTTTATTTTTTAATCACTGCAAATGATCCAGCCGCTCCATTTCTATTGATAAAATTAAACCAACACTGTCTTATGCCTGTTACTTTGGATTGAATTTAATACTACAGAATTTTGATCTTAATAGTTCTTTTTCTAAATTTTCTTTGGGGGGGTCTCTTCAGCTGGAAAGGTTATAACTTATTATTTTTGATACAACGTGGATGATGATTTCTGTTTTATCATCCTTTCTTGCTTAGGTGTCCTGACCTTCCCTGAATCAACTGACATTTCAAAGCCATGACAATATCACAGAATTTTATCACTCAATTCAAATCATTCTGTAAAAGCTTTCTTTAGTTCATTCTTCAGTCAGTCAGCAAGGTATCTTAGAATGTTTCTTGCTTTTTCAAGATGTTACTACCACTTGGGGACTTGAATTCATGCCTCCCTCAAAGTTTTGATCTCATTAGTCACTTTCTGATTTCTTTAAGGGCAAACACAAATTTTCTTTCCTCATATATTGGTTCCTTGATCTTCCTTGTAGGTAGCAGAAAGTCTCTACAGCTAATGCTCTAATAATGCTGATAATCGTTCTAATAATGCTGTTTACATTGTGTTCTAGAGGCTGCTTTTAATGCTCCTGTGTGATAAGCAGTGTGCATAAAGACAGGTGATTGCAGCTCTGAATGGTTAGCAAATTAATACAATCGGTGGGAGGAAAAAGAGGAACACAAAGTGATCTGCCCGGGATTGCAGTATGGGATACTAGCAGATCGAGCGCTCTGGTTTCATTATCCTATGCTGGGGCCATAGAGCATTTTACGGGGTCTTGTTCAACTCTTTACCTGACATGTCTTACCTGTAAAGTTTGTTAATAAAAACATAGTAGGGATGAGAAAAGAAATAAGGCACTAATCCACCTCTGTGGGCTTCCATGTGAATTGATAGCATTCCATATCAGTCTGGACCTGTGAAGCTCTGAGTCCTCCGTCCCTCTCTCCGTCCCTCAACCTCTAGCAACAAAACTAATGATATAGGTCTTCATTTCTTTAAACACTGAACAATTTATGTTGACAGTGTTACTGTACACTGAAAAGAATCAACACTTTTAGAGACAAAACTGCCATGTCCCTGTAAATATTTTATATTTAGGTCTATCGAAGTATGAATATACAGGAGATGTTTGGTTACATTTAAAGTACTTAATATAATTTTATTTTATTAAAACAGATGATCTGTCACAGCTTGTCCACTATACCTTCACAAAGTCAGTGTTTTGACATTCTCCAGACTGGCATCTGTAAATATTTGGTAAGTGACATTGTGTTTTTTTTTTTTTTTTAATGTTAACTTGCTCATGTTCAATTTTGTAATAGACTGAATAACCCTCAAAACCATTTTTTCCATATATTTCATATATTCTATGTATAATTTCAGCATATTTGAAAATTTTCAACACAATTAGTGGAGTTTGAAAAAATATCTGACTTTTTAGTATCCAAATGTATATAATTTTTTTTCTCCTCTGATTTCTGAATACTTCAGCTTGTTTTTTCAAACTAGGACAGCCATAAATGAAAGCTTTTCTTAAAAGAGCAACTAGCAACTTTAAATGAGTTTTACGGGTTTTTTTTCTCCTTCAAATCCTAACACTCCCTAATCTCCGGATGGGGATGCCAAGGCCAGTATTGGGTAATAGTGTTGTCAGTTACAGAGTTTGAAGATGGATTATCTTTGAGACTTGTTGCTAAGAGGAAGGACTTGTATGTCCTGTTATTGAAACAGTTCTGTGATCTAATAAGTATTCACAAGTCACTGTCATGATGCCTACTGAAAAATTCCCAGTCCAAAGCTTCCATAGGAAATGGTTCATCTGTAACTATTCCTTTTTTGTGTTTCTTTTTTTGAGGGGTGGGGGGGTCATTTCAGTTAAATCACAGCTTCTAGAATCAGCTTGTATGTTCTAATACATGGACCTTTGAAAGCAAAGTGTTAAGTGGTATTTGCATTTCTGATAGTGGATTTCATAGTTAATTAGTCTGCTGCCTCAGGATCTCTAATGTGCTGATGACAGTAACTGAATCACTTAGCAGGGAAAGAAGGCCGTATGTAGGCAACATCCTGTACTGAAACGTATTTGAGCTGTCTTATCTACCGGATTTGCATAAACTGAAATGCTGAGTTCATCGCATCTTCCATTCTTGGTGATTGGCATTGGTGTTAAGAGGTTGGCTAATTTGATCTTCAGAATGCTTCTTTATATACAGCTACCCATCTAGCTTACTCTCCTTATTTCCTATTTGTGGTTGGTCAAGATCATCGTTTATTAGTTTGGTGAATGGTTATTTGGTGCCTCCTTATCCTCTGGAATGCAGCAAGGTCTTGCCAAGTCATAGATAATCTTTGTCACACAGGAATGCACACTGCTCTGAATCTAGCTGATGTGAGGTCAACTTGGGATGAGAATTTGTTGTGCTCTTTGCCTTGTCAATACAAAGAGGAAATGCTGCACTCCTGCTTTGGCAGTGGAGTGCAGCAGAGTGACTGTAGGCTGCTTCTGTCTTCCAGTAGTTCCACACATGCCTGTGGCCTCCATCCAAAGACCCTGGGCACTGTCACACGCGTTGTAGGGCACGCTCGTGTTCCTGACACCGTGTGTCAAACTTTGTCTGGGTCTTACAACTGTCATTTTATATGACTTACACACCTGGAAAGTACTTGCTTGGTACAGTAAGTGTCATTCCTCCAGCCACCGGTATTCCTTCTTTTTTTTGGCTAAATCAAGTGTGCATCAGTGAGGTAGTGATAAAGTGTAAAGAGCTCTGGAGTGTGCCTAGAAGGGTGTTGCTTCAACCCACTTGGGACTGCCTCTCGCAGGCTGCACCAGTCTCTGTAGTAGACCACCATCTTCTGCATGACAATCAGTTCTCACCAAATAGTAGGAAATTGTACAGTAGACTGATCAGGAGACCTATTCAATGCATCCTCACTGTTCTTTCCTCCTTCACTACATTTATTTCTAGGGCTGAATTTGTTCTTCGTATCTTGATGTTATGAGGGCTCTTTTTACCTTTACCTTTTGGAGAATTCTCCTGTTACTTGTTTCAACAGCCTAGAAATCTAAAGA